CAAAAGATGGTACTTTGATGTCAAAGTAATGATAATTTTATAGCCTAATTGTTAGCACAGATTCCTTCTCTCTCTTATTTTATTTTATTTTTTTGTCAGGCACTATACTTACTATTTATTGGCATTAATTAGCACAAATTTAATAATGGACACTATATAGGTCGTGTTTAGAATTGATCTCATTTTTAGTTTTTACGTTTTTTGAAAAAAAAATAAAAACATTTTAAAAACGGCGTTTGACGCAATAAAAAAAATAATTTTTTAATTTAGTATAAAATGAGAGATAAATGAAAAATAAATTTTAGTCGTTTTTTATTTTTTATTTTCGTTTTCTCATCTCTCGAGCAAAGAGAGAGAAAGAGAGACATTAATAAGTTTTTTTATACTAAAAATAATATATTGATAAAATTACTAAACACATTTTTAAAATTAATTTCTGTCTGAAATTAAAAACATTTTTATTATTATATAAAAAATAAAATCATTCTGAAACGAATTTTAAACGTGTCCATAGTTTCCAAACATACTCGCAAATATTGAATTACGAATTTCTTTTCATCAAATTAGGAAAAACAGTAAAGTTAGACATATAATTAAATTAAATATCACTTCGTGTCTCTAAAATATTGTCCTAGCGTTGTACCTTGCACCGTCCGGCAAGTCATGAATCCCAAAAAAGCAAATCCACTAACACAATTAATTTAAAAATTGAGACTCATATCTTGAAAGTTAGGCTCCAAAAAACCAAATCTCAAATTTTCCTCTTTGTTTATTTCAACAAAAGCCGTTTGTTCTGCGGTCACTTCTTCAAATTAAATATATAACACTCTAATAATTTTATTCGATAAACTTTTTATTAATAGTGTCAATTTTTAATGTTAAATTTAATTAAAATTATATTAAATTAAAAAATATAAAATAAATAAATTTAATAATTAAAAAATAAAAAATAATTAATAATTAATAATTTATTTTTTTATCCAACCAAAGAAGCTCTCCTTTTTATTACGGAGTTCACGAAATGATAATCCGAAACAAGAAAACAAATGAAAGGTACAGAAAAGGTACTATAGGTTTTGTCAAAAAGTACTTATTGCATTATGGCGATACATGTACGACAACGAATATTAGTTCCCCACCATGGAAAACTTTGCCCTAGCTAGCTTTTTTTCTCAATTGAGTCGTACATTTCTTTTTCAAAAGTGATTCATAATTTCAGTTTATGTGGCCATCCACATTAGCGCTAATTAAAGGCGATGAATGGACTTTCTCATTATCCTTTTTCTCCCCCTGGCTACTACGTACTTGCCAATTGGCATTGAGCTTTTAAATTTATGGTATAAACACGTGTAAATTACCGTACATTAAGCAACCGAAATTTTCAGCCACTAAAATAATTTTTAAAAAATATATGTTACAAAGAAAATTGTCAACTTTTAGTTGAAAAAAAAAAACTTTAACCCCCTAAATAATATTAGGTGACGTTTAGTTCGTAAATTCAGAATTATGATTTATGATTTTAATTTTTAAAATTTAAATTTTTTATGAGAGAAAAATATTTTAACAAATAAAAAATTACGATCTAAAATCAAGTCAGAACACTCGAAACAAACAGAGCATTATTTTTACTATTCAATTGGCCTAAGGATAATTTGTCACTTGAATTCACCACAAGATGTAATTCAAACAAGAAAAAAATCGAGTTGCATAGTACACAATTTCTTACATATTATAGAACACACCTGAGAGCTCTTCTTTAAGATAACAACGTGAAACAATATTTTGTTTTTCTTGAACACGAAACAATAATTAAAGGTTATGATTCATGAAAACGACATTATCATAACATGATACTGTTATTTTCCATGTTATTAAGGATAATTGAACACCGGTTTTAGAAGATAAACGAGAGATACAGTTATAAGACTGCGTCACGAGGGACAGGGACATTGTAATCATCGTTTAGGACAGTAATTCCCACAAAACTATGCGCCAACTTGACAGTGGTTTAGATTTTAAAAAAATTACTGTTTACAATGTTGAAAAAAAAAAACGGTTACAAAAAATAATTAAATATTTAGTAAATTATAATTATATAAGTATTAATTATAAAAGTATTATAGGTATTATAAAAGTTATATTAATTATATTTTAAAATGATTATTACATAATTTAAAAATTAAAAATATATTTAAGCTGCTTCTAATTTTAACTGTAAATTTTAAAAAAAAATTTTAAAAATATCTTTTTATAATTTTTATCAAATACGAATTTTAACTATAAATTATCAAAAAATTAATTTTAAACTTTAAAAATCACGCCACCACGGCAGCCTTCGCCATTAGGTAATGGCAGACAGTGACCTGTGAGGAGATATCCACGCAATATTAACACTTCATAAATAAACATCTTGGACACGTATATTGATTAATTATTTTTTATTGTCAAAATGTCATGATGGTATACGGACTATACGGCATAACTGTTGAAAGGTATACGAAAAAATCGTCCTTTTTTTTATTATTTGACCCCTTTTCAGTATGTAGAAAAATACCTTTTTAAAATATATATGACAAAAAATATCAGCCAAATATTGATTTATTATTGAACCAGATTCTCTTGCATGTTAAAGCGGTATACCCACGCATCTATTTTGTTTTGCACGCACTGAAATGGCGATAATACCCACAATTTTGTTTGGATAGAAAAACGACAGTCCTAGCTATTTAATAACTTATCACACAATTATTATAAATTAATTTGCCAATTGGCAGAAGGTCGAAGTGTGTAATGTAATACGTACAAAGCTATCGTGGATAGTGAATTCATATATAGGTAAGGTTCAAGCAAAAATAAAAGAAAAGGAAAGTCAAAGAAAATAAAATACGTAGAGCTAGTTTGATATTGTTGTGCTCTTTAATATTTGTTATCAACTATATTGTTAATAAAAAGTTACTGTGACCAGAAATACGTAGGCTTTTGATAAAGTCTTCTTCCTTTTTTTTTTCTCTAAAAAATATTGTGGATATATACCGAAAAATAATAATTTAGAAATTTAGTAAACAAGGAAAAAATTTGTCATAAAGATTACTAAAGTCGACATAATATAGTTTTAAATCCAATATCAAGGTCAACTTTCTTAATTTAAAAAAGCAATAATTCAAGTTTAGCACCTCAAATATATATGTTTAAAAAATAAATTACTTTTATTCAGGGAAAAAAATTAAAACAACTCTAATTTTTATCTAAATAAATATAAATTTAACTATCTCAGGATATTTGAGATGTTTAACAATTATTCTTTAGAAGAAGAGACATTTAACTAACTTTAAGATTACAATAGTTAAATAAATATAAATTTATGGTTTAATGTTGTTATTTTTAAATATTAAATAATCATTAAAATTATTTGAGTTAGAGTTGATGCAATGTAATTTATAGTTTATTTGTAAGTATATATTAGTAAGGGTGTGGTTTTAATGGTCACTCTAATATTTATTAATCAATGGATTTCATTGTTTTAACCGTATGATATTGATCCGACAATTATAATAAATTAGATAGTTGATTAAAAAAATTTATGACAATTAATGATATTAGATTTGTATCACTTAACATCATCAAGTTTCTATATTTAATAGTATCTATCGATAAAAATGAAACAATTAAAAACTCATCCATATTAATAAATATGAAAAATGACGAAATATGCAGCTGCAAAAGGTAACTATTATCATGCGTTTTAACTTTTAAGTTAGTTGTTAAGTTACAGTCTTTAGAATTTGTTAGGTAAAAACAAGGTTTATCAAATATTTTTACTTCTTATATAATTTTTTAACAATCTAAGGCATCGTTCGTTTCACCAATTTGAGTTTTTAATTTTAGGTTTCTACAGTTAAAAGCTCTCAGAAAATGTCACATCTAACTTTTTTTACTACAGTTAAAAGCTATCAGAAAATATCACATGTCAACTCGAATTCGCGAAGCGAATGAGGCCTAAAAACATCCTCCAAAGACAATAATTAACAGGTCCGCAGTGACTTAACACCTCTACTTAAATGTGTGCGACACGTGATCTATTACATCCATATTTTAATATACATGCAGCTGTCAGTGAATGATTAATTTTGTCGCACTTAAATAGACTGGGAGGTAAGTTTTGAAATATTTAGGTTAATCACACATATAGTTCTTAAAATGTACTTTTAATCTTACTTTGGTTCTTGACTTTTAAAATATCCTACAGTTGGTCTCTAAAATTTTAATCTATTTCAGTTTTGATCATTTCATTAACTAGTGTTAAATACTTGACCAAACTGTGAAAATTAAGTATCAAAATTAAAAATATCTAAAGTGCAAGGATTAAGACAATATAAAAATCAAAAGTTAATTTTCGCAGATTGTCCATAAATTATAGATGTTTCTAATTTTAGTCATTAATTACACAGATTATGTCAAATATTTAACACCTAATTAACAAAAGGACCGAAACTTAAAAAGAGTAAAACCTCATGGACTAAGCGTGAGACGTTCTAAAAGTTAGAGATCAATTGAGGACGTTTGGTTGGAGGATTCAAACCATGTGATTTGAACTATTTTCGATTTACGTGAATTTTTTGTGAGAAAAAATACTGTAGCGAATCATGAATCATGATTCGAATTAAGGAACGAATCCCTCTACCAAACATAAGAGTAAATTTTAGGGACCATTGGTGCAATTAACTTGAATATTTTAAAAAATAAGCGACCTGTTATAAAGTAGTGGACCATTTTGGAATTTCGATTAATCCCAGGGGAAAAAAAAACAAAAAAAGAAAACCAAACTGAAGAGAAGACGAGTAAACAGTTGGTCAGTTGTATACCGTATCAAAAACCAGCCCTTACTCCTTATAAACGTGTAGAATCTTTACTGGCTTTCACACCCAAAAAAAAAAAAAAAAAAAAAAAAAAAAAAAAACCCCCCCAAAAAAAAAAAAAAAAAAAAAAAAAAAAAGAAACTCCCACTGAAAAGAATATTCCGAATTCGATATTAGAATTCCACTTTCTTTCTACATATTACCATTCCTCTTCATCCTTCTATAAAACCCCCCAAAATCCCAAGCTAAACCTAAGCACAACCAAAAAATAAATAAATAAATAAACAAACAAATAGAGCGTTTTACAATGTGCGAAGCTCTCAAGAACGCCTACCAACTGTTCGAGGAAATCGGCCGCGGCCGATTCGGCACCATCTTCCGAGCTTTCAGTCCATCCATGGCGGAATTCGTCGCCTGCAAGGTCATCGACAAGCGCCTCCTCACCGACGCCACCGACCGCGCTTGCCTCGACAAGGAGCCCAAGATCATGACCCTCCTAGCCCCACACCCCAACGTCCTCCGCATCTTCGACGTCTTCGACACCGACGATTGCCTCACCATCGTCCTCGAGCTCTGCGGACCCCTCACTCTCTACGACAGAATCCTCAATCGAACCCTCTCCGAGCCCCAATCGGCCTCCCTCATGAAACAGCTTCTCCAGGCCCTCTCGCATTGTCACGCCCTGGGGATTGTCCACCGCGATTTGAAGCCCGAGAATGTTTTGTTCGATTCTAGGGACAATCTCAAGCTCGCCGATTTCGGCTCTGCCGAGTGGCTCGGCGACGACGGATGTGTGGAGGGAGTCGTCGGGACGCCGTACTACGTCGCGCCGGAGGTTCTGTTGGGGAAGGAGTACAACGAGAAGGTCGATGTCTGGAGCGCCGGCGTGATTCTCTACGTAATGCTGGCCGGGATTCCGCCGTTCTACGGCGAATCGGCAACGGAGATCTTCGAGGCCGTTTTGAGAGGGAATTTGAGGTTCCCGACTAGGGTTTTCCGGTCGGTTTCTCCGGCGGCGAAGGATCTGTTGAGGAAGATGATCTGTAGGGATGTTTCCAGGAGATTAACTGCAGATCAGGCACTCAGTAAGTCTTTCTTTTTCTTCAAAATCATTTCTTGGATCTAAAAAAATCCGTGAATTTTTATGTTCTTGCTTCAAAGATAGTTTTGCTTGTTCGTTCCTTTGTTTTTTTTTTTTTTTTTGGTCCTAAATCTTTCCATGCAAAATAAAAATGGCATCTTTATTAACCTTTGTGTTGTTCTGTGTAAAATTCAGGGCACCCATGGATCCTAAGTGGAGGAGAGACAGGTTCAATGGACTGATCTGCATAAAGAACTAAAAAGTTTCTAACCCAAGAACAAAAATCCAGTTTTACCATTGTATATAGAGAAGGTCATCATAGATGTTCCAAAAAAAAAACCCAGTTTTCCGCTGAAGAGGAGCTGAACCAGAGTTTGAAGAGAAGTTTCACGTGAGGCTCTTTCAAGGGGGTTTTTTTTTTTTGGTGGTAACTTTAGAGAAAAATCTGCGACTGCATTCTGTAGATACGGGTAGAGTGAGAATCCTGGCTTTCCCCCCTCTTCTTTTTTATGTTTTTTGGGTTGATAGAAAAGATCTGGCAGTGAGAAAGCCGAAGTACTTTTATGAGTATATCAGTCATGTTTTTGTAAATGAAAAGATGCTAAATATATGGATATGCTGAGTTTAAGAATCTCAAGTTGTTTTTTTGGCATTAATTTCCTTCTTTTCCTGCCTGTTTTCATGGATATGCACATTTGTGAGAACATCTTATTGTTCACGTTGGAAAAAGGATTTTGCGCGTTTGAATCTTTCAAGGGAGGTCCACCTAATAAGCATATGCTTTGATATATATATACCTTCTCTTATACATATAGATTCCGTTCTACTAATGTAACAAAAACGGCATAGTATCTGATATATTGTAAGAATTGAAATGGGAAACGATGATGTTTGATGGATAGATTCAGAATTATAATTCAAAATTATTTTTGATTTACGCGTATTTTTTATGAGAGAAAATATTATATTGAGTCACGAGTATTCAAATTATGACACGAATTTTTGAACCAGCGCACTAGAAAAATTTGTTATACGCGCTGGGTCAAAAAGATTCCACTCCCTTGTAGACTATTCACTACAGCAGAGAAAGCCAAATATTCTTTGCCCAGCGTAAAGGTAAGGCACACCATTAGAGCAATTATTCTTTCGTTTCATGTAATCAAGAACAATGTTTAGTCCATTCGAAGTGCTTCTGTTACTGGATAGTGAATTCTCCGTTTATTTGCACCACAAGAATGCCCTTTTTCTGTGAACTTGACAAGTTTTCTACCCGTAATAGATTCACACGGAAGTTGAATAGAGTTTGATACATGTCGCACACTCATTACCTTCTCTCTTCAAACAAATTGATAGATTATTTATCAAGTCGGGTTATTCCTGTAAGGGAATCATAGAACAGCTAGATTTGCCTTTTTTTGGAGGGTCTAAAGTTTAAAATGCCTTTTACTATACATATTGACAAAAGAAACTGATGAAACGGAACACTAGGTTGGGATGGCATTGTGGGTTCAACATCATCCACAGGAAAAAAAGTAAAGCTCTATCAAGATCCCGTTTATTTAAAATTTGTATTTTATTACAATAAATTTTTTTTAAAAATAATCACATTTAATTTTTTTTTATTATAATAAAATTTTTTTACATAAATTTATATTTTAATTTAAATTAAAAACCTTGTTATAATTGTTTATTGTTACTCACTTAAAACTAGGCTCCAGATGTCCAAACTGGAGGAAACCACCACCATGTGAGTTTGTCTGGTATATTGGATCTGATAATAGATTGATTTCAGACTCATTATCCACTTCTTGAGGCAAAAGTTTTGAAGGAAAAAAAAAAGTATTATCCTTGGCTTTCAGGACAAAATCAGCAATCAAAACCCTGTGGAACTAACACACATTATTGTTGTGGGTGGGGCACCTTCTCCCCCCTCTCTCTCTCCATCTGTTTCCTTAATTTATTACTTGCTGGGACCAGACACAGATAGTGGGACACAAAAGATTCCATATTACAGTTGGTAGAGTTAAGACTATGGTTAGATTTCGGAACCAAAGGAAAAGAGAGGGAGTCTATCAGATGAGTTAAGTCTTGTTCACTTCGTGAATTTGAGTTTTTAATTTGAGTTAAGATATAATATTTTTTGAGAGCTTTTCACTGTAACAGAAAAAGTTAGATGTGCCATTTTTTGAGAACTTTTTACTGTAAAAACCTAAAACTGAAAATTCAAATCGGTAAAATGAACGAAGCATTCGAAGTATGTAGTGTGAGCGTAATGGGGACTCATGAGGCAGAGTTTTTACTTTTATTTTTTATTAATAAAAGACGAGAAATATAAGTGGATGTTTATTTTTTGTATTCATCATTAATTCTCTATAATATTTTTCTCTTATAAAAAATGAACATAAAATGAGAATGATTATAAATTTATGAACCAAACGTTTACTAAATTGCAACTTATTAACAAGTGGAGAGTGTATCTAGTAGACTGTTCTATCAGTAGGATTGGTAGGACTAATTTTTTAATCGTTGTATATGGTTAAAATTAAATGATATTAAAGAAGTATGCAAAATAAATAGTTTCTAGTACATATCTGACGATTGAAAATAGATTAACAAATAGAATTGTCAGTAGCTCTAATTTTTCTAATCCTACGAGAGAAATTCCCTAATAAATATTTGAAACTATATTTTTAAAAGAATAAATGATTCAAAATGATGATTTTAAAATTTTTTAATAAACCATAAAAATATTAAAACAAAATTTATAATGTTTTATTTAAATTCCGATATAGGTTTCAAGTCTATTCAAATAAAAAGTTACATTTTATGAGCTTTTTTTAACCACTTTATAAAAAATTGTTTATTTTATGAGTTTAAATTCATTATTTTAATTTTATCACAATATTTTTTTTTTATAAAAAATCTAAAATTTAAAATAAAAATTATTAATTTTAAACTCGAGAATTAAACAGGTAGTTAGTGTTTAGAAAGCAGTGTTTAAACAGCTTCTTGAGAACTCTATCAAACATGGCGTGAGCGTTTAGAGGGGCCTGGACCTGGTGGCGAGGTGAGAGAAACAATTTTGATAAGTTATCCAATTTAAACGGAGAAATTCCCTAATAAATATTTGAAACTATATTTTTAAAAGAATAAATGATTCAAAATGATGATTTTAAAATTTTCTAATAAACCATAAAAATATTAAAACAAAATTTATAATGTTTTATTTAAATTTCGATATAGGTTTCAAGTCTATTCAAATAAAAAGTTACATTTTATGAGCTTTTTTTTAACCACTTTATAAAAAATTGTTTATTTTATGAGTTTAAATTCATTATTTTAATTTTATCACAATATTTTTTTTTTATAAAAAATCTAAAATTTAAAATAAAAATTATTAATTTTAAACTCGAGAATTAAACAGGTAGTTAGTGTTTAGAAAGCAGTGTTTAAACAGCTTCTTGAGAACTCTATCAAACATGGCGTGAGCGTTTAGAGGGGCCTGGACCTGGTGGCGAGGTGAGAGAAACAATTTTGATAAGTTATCCAATTTAAACGGCAGTTTCCTAGGCAATGGCCCCATGTGCTTTAGTCTAGCTAACTCATTTGATAAGTTAAGGTAGATTTCTCTACTTGTCCAATAAGTTAGGTTAGTTTGTCTCTAGTACATGCTTCTAGAATGTATAGTTGAGACTTAGGGACCAAACTTTCTTCTCCGTTTTTTTTTTTTTTTTTCAACAAAACGGAGAAATTCCCTAATAAATATTTGAAACTATATTTTTAAAAGAATAAATGATTCAAAATGATGATTTTAAAATTTTCTAATAAACCATAAAAATATTAAAACAAAATTTATAATGTTTTATTTAAATTCCGATATAGGTTTCAAGTCTATTCAAATAAAAAGTTACATTTTATGAGCTTTTTTTTAACCACTTTATAAAAAATTGTTTATTTTATGAGTTTAAATTCATTATTTTAATTTTATCACAATATTTTTTTTTTATAAAAAATCTAAAATTTAAAATAAAAATTATTAATTTTAAACTCGAGAATTAAACAGGTAGTTAGTGTTTAGAAAGCAGTGTTTAAACAGCTTCTTGAGAACTCTATCAAACATGGCGTGAGCGTTTAGAGGGGCCTGGACCTGGTGGCGAGGTGAGAGAAACAATTTTGATAAGTTATCCAATTTAAACGGAGAAATTCCCTAATAAATATTTGAAACTATATTTTTAAAAGAATAAATGATTCAAAATGATGATTTTAAAATTTTCTAATAAACCATAAAAATATTAAAACAAAATTTATAATGTTTTATTTAAATTCCGATATAGGTTTCAAGTCTATTCAAATAAAAAGTTACATTTTATGAGCTTTTTTTTAACCACTTTATAAAAAATTGTTTATTGGCCAAAGAATAAAAGCCTATAAAGCTAGGAAAAAAAAAATACTCACAACCAATCAATTATTAGTTATCTATACTAACTTCATTTCACGTCTATCATTCATTCCATGTTTTTTTTTTTATATAAAAAAAAGAAGAAAATACTAGAGTCTCAAAGGTTTTTATATATTTAATGTTATCAATATGGTTTTGTCACAATTGGTGACAAGTAATATTGTTACTTTATTACAAGTGATCTTTTGAAAGCACTTTCATCTATCTCATCTGCGATACATCACTAAATTGGTCCGGTAGTTACAAAAAAATATCACTTCTTGAGTTCTTATTTATTTTCTAAGCAACAGAAAAAGAGGCATTTTTATAACTTATAATCTTCAACGATAAACAGCTCCGTATTAGCGCAAAGTCCAAAATAATTTGAGTAGAGCAACAATACACTTTTCAGCTTGAAAAGTATGTCATTTAGTGAACACTTTGAAATTTTTATCACGCGACAATTGATAAAGAGAAAAATTAATTTTCAATGGCCGAGATTCTTTTGATAACTCATATGGTTTTCACTACTTTTGTCCAGGATACACGCATCATTGAATGCCCATTCTTATATTATATATCATCAAGTCGCTTTCTAAAATACTTGGCAGCTATTTAGAAGCTGACAAAGGTTTCCTCCAGACAGTGGGGCAGGCGTAATTTGTTTGTATGTTCCGACAGTTTCCACGCTAGGTAGGAGCCCAAGAGCAGTCTCTTTCACTATAATAGTACAAGTACTACTTCAAATTATACGAAACGTATTGAGTCCGGCACTTGGATCAGCATGATAATTTTTTTAAATGTGTAACATCGTCTATTTGTGTTACACTTAATTTGTTTAAGTATAACATTTAAATAAACTCAATATTACACATATGTATAAATGATGTTACAAGAAAATACAAAAACGGTTATATTTATCGGACTATAGTTTAAGGTTTTGTATTAAAAATTATTGATGCGTTTAGAATTCGTTTTAAAATTGTTTTATTTTTTGTATGAAAATAGAAATAAAAACGTTTTCAATCTCGAGCATAAATTATTTTTGAAAATACGTTTTGTAGTTTTTTTAAAAGATTATTTTAACATAAAAAATCAATTAATCTCTCTCTCTCTACTCAATAGAGGATAAAACGAAAACAAAAAATAAAAAACGACTAAAAATTATTTTTTATTTATCTCATGTTTTATACTAAATTAAAAAATTATTTTCATTTCTGTTTTTTTTACCTTTAATTGTGTCAAACGCTGTTTCTCTTCCATTTTCATTTTTTTTTAAAACGTAAAAAATAA